CATAGCATAATTGCTAGACTGGCTAAAGCTGTTAAATGGATAAAAAAAAAAAGCAAAAACTTTTCTTAAAGCTTCAGGACTGTTCTTGTTAAAACATATATCCAAAGCCAATTTTTTTTCCCTTGTCTTCCATTTCAAATCACCCCTCCAAATGATGCTGTAGAATAGATGGAGGCTAAAGCAACAGGTAGCAGAAGAAGTAGTAATAGTATTAGTACTAGTAGTAGTAGTAGTGGTAGTAGTAGCAGTAGCAGTAGCAGTAAGAAAAAAAAGTATCAAATGAATATAAACTGATAAAATATAAAAAAAATTGAAGTGAAACTAAAACTACTTCATCAGAATTTGTAAGCCATCCATTATCTATGATCAAACTTAACCATCCAACTTTAACAGCAACAGCAACAGCAACAAAAACAAAAATTTGCATAAGCAGTCAAAAGGATTGATAAAAAATAATTCTTAAATTAAACCGTTTTGTTTTATTTATTTATTTACTTTGTTTTCGTTCTAAAATATAACCCAAGAAATATGCAAAGAAAAAAAAATTAATTACTAATAGAATGAAAGAAAGGAGAAGAAACTTAAGGAGGAAGGAAAGAATAACTTCATTTCTCCTACTTCCCGCATAGTTAAGTTTGATCACTGACGATCAAAATCGAACTGTAACTATAAATAAAGGAACTAAATTATCACAGTGATAAAATTAAGGAGGAGGGGAGAGCAAAAAAGTGAAAAAAGTTATACTCTATTTTTTTTTTTCTTTTTTCTGTCCCTCCCATTCATTAAACTGTAATTGGCTTAAGAAAATAGTGCCTATAAGGAAGGAACACCTGCACCCTGGAATTGACTAATGGGTATTCAAAAAGGGGTCAAAAAAGGGTGGTATCTTTGATTTACGCATTAATTTCCAAAGGCCTCCCAATAAGGGTATCCAATATCATCATATCAACATCCAATTAAATATTAGACAAAGTTAAGATAAAACTTTAACCATCATATAATAATTGGCCAAATTGGGTCTATCAGTGGAACTGATAAATAAACTTTCTATAGTTGTGATAACAATAAAAATGGGGGAAAAAGGTGGCTTGTCTAAGGTAACGGTCAAATTGGCGTCAACAACAGTAGTAACGACGACGACGACGACGACGACGACGA